TCACTGCAGCCTCAACCTCCTGAGCTCAAGCCATCTTCCTGCCTCAGCCTCCCAAGTAGCTGGGACTACATGTGCCTGCCACCTCACCTGGCTAATTTGTGTACGTTTTGTCAAGACAGAGTTTCACCATGTTGCCCAGGCTGGTCTTGAAGTCCTAGGCTCGAGTGATCCGCCTGTCTCAGCCTCCCAAAGTGTTGGGATTACAGGCGTGAGCCACCATGCCTGGCAACCATGAGTTCTAATATTGCCTTGGGAAGCTCAGAGAGTTACTGCCTCCACTAGAAACTATGATCTTTAATACCCACTTTTTCCCATTTTTTTAAAAAAAGAAACTATGATCTTATGATCTTCACACACGTAAAGTCAGACTAGCTCCCTAGGATAGAAAGGGCAATGCCTGAGCTGTGATCCTTTGCCTTTGAAGAGGAGATGGCAGAGGTTCCACCTGTGTGTGACAATCAGATGGGAGAGGACCTTCCAGGTCAGGCAGCCCAGGCTCTATTTCAGTTTGCAACTTGTTTATATTTCACCTATTCAGGGTCCCAATCCCCACCCCATAGGCAGTCTAACCAAGGCTAAATTGTTTTCTGGTCTTCTTGCCAAAATGACCTCTGGAGGCTGAGCTCGGTAGCTCACCCCTGTCATACTAGCATTTTGGGAGGCCAAGGTGGGAGGGTCACTTGAGCCCAGGAGTTCGAGACCAGCCTGGGCAACATAGGGATACCTCTGTCTTTACAAAAAATAAAAATATTAGCTGGGTATGGTGGTGCACACTGGCGGTTCCAGCTACTCAGGAGGCTGAGGTGGGAGGATTGCTTGGGCCTGGGAGGTTGAGGCTGCAGTGAGCTGAGATTGCATCACTACACTCTGGCTTGGATGACAAAGCAAGATCCTATCTCAAAAAAAAAAAAAAGTCAGAAAGACTACTGACGCATCTGCCAAGACTGGGTTTGTGTCTGGTTTCGGCATGGGTGGCTGCTTACATCAGCTCAGGTAGATTTTTCTCAGTAATTATACTTTACTGTCCATGGATTACATTAAATTTCTATTTGTTCCAGAGATTAGATACAATCACTTGTCTTGGAGTTCATTTTCCATATTCCGCATAAAAAGTAAGCCGTTCCACACAGTCTTGGGGTGCTGCTGCAGGAAATGGGCTGGGGTTTCCCCCTCTGTTAACCTGGAACTCTCTCCCTCTCTGACCTGGCCAGAGACCTTGTTCTCTTCTTTCTCTGGATCTTTCTCAACAGCTGAGAACAGAGCTCTCAAGTTGCGACCTCATCAGCCTCAGGAAGAGTAGGGTATGCTTCTCAGCACCAAAGGAAACTCGCCATAGTACTTGTGTAGCACTCACTGGTTTACACAGCCCCATGAGAGTTTAAATTTAATGTTACTTAATCTTTTTTTTTCTTTTTTTTGAGACAGAGTCTCGCTCTGTCACCAGGCTAGAGTACAGAGGCCCAATCTCAGCTCACTGCAACCACTGCCTTTAGGGTTCAAGCGATTCTCTTGCCTCAGCCTCCAGAGTACCTGGGACTAAAGGCATGCGCCACCACACCAGTCTAATTTTTTTTTAAATTATTTTTAGTAGAGACGGGGTTTTACCCTGTTGGGCAGGCTGGTCTC